AATAAATAATATTTCAGATCCTCCGAATATAAATACATTTTGTGTATTAATATTTTATTTTATAGTCGAATCCCAAAAATTTTTATTGATCTTTTAAAATTGGCTGAACATTTACTCGCCGTTTTTTACTAATATGTATGAACACAAAAACTTCAATTACAGTTTCTAGTTATGATTATATATGAGCTTTTTTAAAGTTATCTAGTTGTGGTCTAAATTTATTTTAGACGTTTCATAATAAAAATATGTGTATGTGTAAATTTTCAATAACAATTTCTATATATTATTTAAACTTATATGTACATATGATATCATTTAATATTATTTCCTTAATATCGCAATCAAATATCATTAGTCGTTCTAAAAAGCTGCTTCACGTGGACCGACTGTATGGAACATGTTTATTTATGAAGACTATTTTTTATTTTATAGACCATGCCGAATTAAAATCTAGAAAAGAAGAGAAACAAATGTTTTGTTTTATGTTATTTTTATATCATTACTTTACAAGAAAACATGTTTATATATAGTGATAGAATTTCTGAGTTAGATACCAAAATTATTGTTCTTATTCCATATTCATATCATTTTCTTATTTTCAGATAAAATGCGTCGTTCATCGTTGGGATTCTTGGGTCGTGCGAAAGTGAGAACTTTAAAATGACTGTTACCATAGTCTTAGTTTTCTTCATATGCTGGACACCGTACTACGTCATGAGCATGTGTGTATGATAACTTAAATTTTAAATTGTTAAAAAAAAAATTGTTTACTTTAATTCAATTTGTTTGCATAAAAAGAGATGAGATTCATGAAAAAACTAAAAGATTATTAATTCTTGTAAACTATATTTTTAAAATGGTAAAATTAAATACCATATGAATAATATTATGATCAAAACAGAAGTATTCATCGTCAGAGTTGGAGAAACTATTCATTAAACATTAAAAAAAATTCGTTATAAAAATGAATTTTTAACAGTTCTACTTCTTTATATATTTTATTTCATTCAGTTACGCTCTTTCCAGTGTAAGGTTTATTTGTTTTTTTTTTATTACTTCTCGTAGGCTTTCATAGAGGTCAAATGCAAAGATAGTTGAATTTGACCTAAATAAGAATAATATACCTCAAGTATAAAATAAATTAATTAAAAAACTATATCCAGGTACCGTAACTAAAAGTAAAAGATCGTCTGGAAACAGGAAAAGTAGAACTTGAAAAGTACGATACGTTTTTTTTTGTGGACTATGGATTATCTTTAAATCCACGAACTCTTAAGGGGGAAGCTTGCTTTAAAGGCGTAAAAACAATCGTTTTTTTTGCAAAAATGTCTTCCAAAACTAGCTAAGAATATATCCCTAAAATTTCAGAAACAAAATCAAATTATTTTCAGAGTTACAGAAGAAATAGAGAGCAAGCGTCAAGCAGAACGAAAACTTAGACGCGCGATTTCTCGATTTTTAATTTTTTCGATTCATCTTAATTGGGGAGAAAGATAGAAAAAAAACCAAAACGTCCCATCGAAACGATACAAAATTTATTGTATTAAATTCTATTTTAGTTGAACCTAAAAAACCTTTAAAAAAGTTATAGTTCACCCACTTTTTAAAAATCTAAAGTGAAATTTTGTATAAAAACATGATTTTTATTTTCAAGTTGAGAAAAATTGGTGAATTTCTGGATTTATAAGGTTCAACTTGAATCTATACTATTGAAATATATATATGCTTTGATTTTTTTGTTTCGGATGGAAATTGTAATCTCGTTCAATTAAATTAATATTTATTTTTTTCTAAAAATTCCTCAAAAAAGCGATTTTTTGAAACCTTTAAAGCAGATCTACCTTTTAGGCCCCGTTCTGCCATAATTCTATTATTAGTCTTATCAAATTATTTTTATTTTAGGCTTAAATTGGAGTTGCAAATCTTGAATTAATAGGCCAATTCTGCCGTAAAATAGACCATTGTTATGTCAAGGCTATTTACGCTGCTTTTTTTCATATAAAATGATCTTACAAACTGTCTAAATGCTATGTGGTTGCTGGGCAGTCAGGCGTTTTAGATAGAAAACCTAATCTAGAAAACGCACAAACGACAAAAAAATCTTATTATAAGGGCATCTTTGTGATGAGTCATAAAAACACATGCGTGAAGTTGTTTTTTTTTCTACAGTTTTCAGTACCATTTACCAGAAAACTAGTGGTGCATGGCATTGTATCTTAAGCTAAATTGCTGCAACTTCCCGTACCGAAAATTAAATAAAATTTTCAAAGCAATCGCGCTGAGTCAGCCGCGTAGAGACGAAATATCGAGTGCAGAAGCGCCAAGTTGCATACTAACGATTTCTCTATGAAATACCAAAATAATTTTGAAATAGATTTAAAAAAAAAATTATTGGTTCTCCAAAACCGCTAGATCCGCCGTTCTAAAAAAAATAATCAGTTCTTCCTTTTGTCAATACAAATACGTCAATACGTTCTTTGTGCCATGTAAACCGGACGTTCCGCAATCTCCTTAATTGAATTACCATTTTCTAACTTCCCGTAGGGTAAGTTATTGTAATGGGCCGAAAATCGAAGTTGAAAATTTTTACATTTCTCGACGTTTTGAAGGTTTCTGAACGTTTTTGCATACTTCAGAAAAAATTGATGTGTGTGTGTGTATGTATGTATGGATATAAATTTCCAGTCACGTTTTCGGGCGCACGGATCAACCGATTTGAATGGTTCAAAAAACATTCAATTCCTATTGATAGGGAGAAGAGCTGATTAGTTTTTGGCAAAGGCAGGCCCAGCCATTTCGAAGATACGGCTGGGTAATACGTAAAAAATGGCAGTTTTTGAGAGAACTAAGCGTCCGATTTGAATGATTTAAAGAACTTTCTGCTTGTCTTAACAAAATAATTGATTTTGGAAAAAAAAATTTTTGTTTTAACTTTTTTTTTTCAAAAAAATTTTATTTGTATATTGAAAATAATTCAGATTTTATTTTTAATTCTGACTATAGTTCTAATATACTTTAAATAAATAATTTCAACTTTGCAATTTAGTTTATATATTTGTTATAAATATTAGACAATGTTACAATATTAATAATAATCTATTTGAAAACATTCAGTATTCCTCGAACATTTTGTTACGGTACGGGAAGTTCCAGCAATTTGTCTTAAGGCCATATATCCCACTAGTTACACTTTTTGCTCCATATCTAATAAATGGCCAGACCTGCCTTTGCCAAAAACTAATCAGAGCGTCCCCTTATCAATAGGAATCGAGAATTATCCAGATCGGTTGAACCGTGCGCCCAGAATAGTGGACGAAAAATTGTATCCAAACATACATACACACACACAGGCATACATAAATGTTTGTAAGGGATGCCAAAATATTTGAAAACCTCTGAAACGTAAAGATATGCAAACATTTTTTGCGATTACTATAACTTACCCTACTGGAAGTTAAGAGACTCAGCGTAACATAACGTTGCCATAACATTGGGTTATTTTACGACATAATTGGCCTATAAATATTTGTCTATGCATAAGATAGTTAATATAATTTCGATCATAGGTATTGGATAGACCGAGAGACTGCAGTTCACGTGGACCAGCGCATTCAGCGTGGCTTGTTCCTCTTCGCCTGCGCCAACTCCTGCGCCAATCCCATCGTCTACGGCGCCTACAACATCCGCGCCAAAAGGCAGCAGACGCAGCTGATCGTCAACAGGGTGCACGATAGATCAGGATCGGTGCCCAGGCTCAGCTCGTCTGGTGCCCAGGCGATCTTGGCCATGAACCAGGTGAGAAGGGACAGCGAATCATTTGTTCTTCAGCCGATTCTGAAAAAGACCAACGATAATGGAACTGGTAAAGAACATTTGATGATACCGGATAAAAATCCGTTGACAGGGAAATTAAGTCTGACCTTAAGGGAAATTGAATAGTAGTAATAGAATTTTATTCTCTGATAAATTGCAGTACAAAATACTTTTTTCAGCTAATGTACATTTGACAAATGTGATGGCATTCATTTGAGTTCAAAGTACTTACTAGCAAATTTTACGAATTTTTTTTACTCTTGAATCTAATATAATTTTTTCGAATTTGTAAATAATAAATCTAGTTTAACGAAATTTATTCGAATTACAATTATTCGAATAAAATTATTACAATTTAATGTTCTCGGAATATTAATGGATTCAAGTCGAAACAAACGTATTCTTTATAGAAAATTATTAAGACATTTAACGTTAAAATCTAAAACTGCAAATGTATTTTTATATTTCTAAATATAATTAAGATATTAATATTTTAAATCAAAAACCAAAGTTTTTTAACAAAGATCTAATTTGTACAAAGATATAAGTAATTTTAATATTCTTTTATAATTATATTAGACTATAAAATTGTAAGTTTATTTAGTTTATGTTAAATTTTAAACTTTCTTTTTTAATAGGAAAATTATATTTTTATTTTAGTTTATATATGTTTTATTTTGTTTATTTTATTTATTTTGATTATATGTATTTTATTTACTATTAAAGTTATTTTTATTTACATATTGTTTTTTATTTATAGTTTGTTTAGTTTCAAATTATTTATAATTTTTAGGGGATATATATATATATATATATATATATATCGATTTGAACGGGTCAAAATAAGATAACTCTAATAAATCTGATGTCCCGTGTATTGACCCAAACATATAAGGGTTAAAGTTGGAAAAATTCTATGACCCATTTAGAGGGCCCCAATCGGGTCCAAATAAATAATCGACCCTCGCCAGCTTTGGAAGGCCGATCTACCCATACCCGTGTATTACCCCTTGGGGCCCTCCTGGTTGATTTTTTAAAATTTAAGCCTTATATTTGGGTCAATGCACGGAACATCAGAAATCATTTTAAAGGTATGTTTTTTTTCAGCAAAGTATTTTATTTTGATCCCTAGTATCCGAAAATCATTGATTTTTAATTATGGTATTTGCTTTAAAATAGCAATCGGAAACAAAAAGTTTTTTTATTAATTTTGATTTATTGCCGACGTTTATTATGTACGTTTTATCTTCAGGAAATTCATTTGTGATCTTCAGAAAACACGATCTTGATCACAAGATAAAAAATGATATTATAAAAAAATTATTTAATTATAAAGAAAAATTAATAAAAGGCCACAAGTTTTAAGTTAAAAATGAAATTGTAACTTGACCTGACTAACTAGCTAACCTGCTGACTAACTAACTGACTAACCTGATTAAATTTTTGTTTTTAAAATAGATGCAGTTTTACTTAAAAAAAAATAGTGCGCGTAAGGTTCACTCGCAATTGAAGTAAAACCATTTTGCTATTGTACGAGACGGCATTTAAGTTATAAACAAATACATCATATAACAATTTTGAATAATGTTTACAGAAATATGGTAACACTCGTGATACACATTAATAATGTCAACCATTATACATATTTATATAATAATAAATTATAAATTATATATTTATAATAGCTTTTAAAATATGTATAATATTTAAAAACAATAATGTAATTAAAGTCATACTTCAAATATGACATGAATGATTTGCCATTGTGATTAGCAATTAAATATGAACCTTTATTAGAAAAATGAAGTAATTGCTGATTAATAAATTCTATAATATTCGTTCACACAGTGGATTATGTTGAACAACGTTTAATCAAATATTGTTTTCGCAATTTTGCTCATCATGTAATTGTACTTGAAGAACTTCATGTAATTAAAATTAACATACATTCAATGACTGATGGTATTTTTTTACTTTTTCGCTGGCTTTTACTATGATCTCATTGCCTGTCTTGTCTAAAAAACATTTTTCATTTCAATTTCATTTCAAAGATTTATAGAAACTACGAATAATATAGAAATTATTTCAATAAACTTATGTTTCATACACGGCGCAAATGCTACATTTGTTTTCATTATAATTCTTTACGGGGGACAGGCAAAATATTCTTCTGATTCGGGCATTTTTCATTAAATCAAGATTTGTACTACGATGTAACTTTAAATTGTTTATTTATCTATGCCGATTTCCTTGTTGATATTGGTACACATACAACGTTTCTGCCGGTACGCATACAACGACAGATCTCTATTCACATACGCGACGACTAATCACAATCGAAAGTTATTTTGACGCATGATTAATATGCAAAAACTTTCTATATCACTAGAAGCATTTTTTTGAAAAAGAAAATGTTCGGGATTATTTAACATTTCTGCACAATGATTATGGAATAGCAATTCCATAATCAAAATATATACTAATTATGTCATTAAATATGTGATTTGAAATTCTATAATATACTAAATGGTAGGTATAACATATATTATTGCAACATCTAATTATATGCTTTTTTATTCCAGATAAATAGCTCAATCCATTTGGGCGACGAATTTCAAACCATGCATCAGCTTAGCAAAAGTAAGCAATTTTTCAACTAATTTGTGTATATGTATATAACAGTTTCTAATAAAGTTTTATATTGATAGGTGTACATCAGAGAAGTTTTATTCGAGAACCAAATCGTCGAGCAATATGTTTGAGCTGCGGCGAGAGCTTGGATTTACCATCGTTAGACGGAAGCACAAGAAACGGCTTAGAATAGCTGAATGTAATGAATAATTTTATATCATCTATGTTATTTCGTTTCATATTCCAGGACTAAGATCAATTACATTTCTTACTACCAAAGAATATGTGTATTGAATTGTCATTATATGCACAGCGATAACATTTGTACATTTATGTAAGTATCAAAAATTTGTAATATTATATACATGAATGTTGAATTGTATTAAATATTTATCACGTTATCTAATGATGTTTTGATCATAACGTTTGATATATTGAATGTTTTAATTGTTATGCTATGTTTGAATTATGCAGGTCCAAAAGAGAAAAGTTATGTGTATTGGGTGTGTGGCATATGTTTTCTAATGTCGGGTAGATTGGGGCTTAAAGGTGCACAGGTAAAATGATCCACCACCGGTATCTCAAAAAGAACTTCTTACCAACAATATTTAAAAGTAGAAGGCTGAAGGTGTATAACTTGCCATCATCTTGATTCTTACGAGGTTGCTATTAATTCTATTAATAATTTGATTTCCCGAATAAATTAATTATTCGGGAGATTAATGGAAATGTTTGAAAATCCATAACAAAAGTATTTTCTTTTTTTGTTAGATTTTTTGGTTGTGAGCTCTGTTATTTAGTTCACCAGACCTTAATATAATTCTTAATTATACGTTATTTAATTGTTTTATAAGAGGTTTTGTTATTTTTCAAATTAGCTTACATATATGTGAGGGATAAAAAAGACCAACTGATACTTTACCCTCGCAAAAGTGTAATCAATAAGAATATAGTATATAAAAGAGTAAATTAAGGTAAAAAGGGCAATTTTAAAAAAGATACATTAAATAAATATTTATTCCAACTCTGCTGATAACTATTTCTGATGAAATACCAGATCAAGGTTATATACAGTGCTATCTCTGTAAAAAATGTACCCATGAATTTATATTTTCATTTGAATAATGTAGCTATTATTTCATACTATCTCTTTAAAGTTAAAAACAAATTGCTAGAACTTCTCGTACCGTAATTAAAAATCTTGGTACAGAACCCAAAAAAAATTGCACAAAATATTTATTAAAATCTCTATAAAATATCTGATAATTTGATGTACATATGTTCAATAAACATTTTTGACCGCCAAATAAGATTTTTTCAACTTATTTTTATTGAGAGTTCATAACCGCTGGACCTGCCTTCCAAAAAATTTAATCAGTTTTTCATCTTGTTAATACAAGTAAAATGTTTTTTGAATTTTTAAAATCGGACGCTCCGTTTTCTTAAATACTGATTTACCGTTTTTGGCACTTTTTGCCCCGTATCTTTGGAACGGCTAAACCTGCCTTGGCCAAAAACTAATCAGCACGAGTCCTTATCAATACGAATCGAATGCTTTTTGAATTATTCAAATCGGTTGATTGGTGTTCCCGAAATCGTCAACAAAAATTTGTATCCGCACACACACACATACATCCATTTTTTCTAAGGTATTCAGAAACCTTTGAAACGTAAAGATTAATAAAATTTTTCATTTTCGATTTTTTTGCGATTATTATAAATTACCCTACGGAGGTTAATAAGACATTGAATCAGTTCGCCTCTGGCTGTCTCATTTTATCCCGCATTTTATGAGGTAAAGAGGACCAGGCGACAAATTTTTGAAAAACAGCAAAAAAACACATCATCTCTACAATGATGAATTAGCTGAGAGTTTTACTGAACATAGTCAGATAGTTGTTTGTTTGATATGTGTTATGTATTGTGATACAATTGGTTTGGTCACAAAATAATTGCCTAAAGTCAAATTGGACCTTTGTGCTCCGTCCTACCCCCTTACCAATGAACACGAATATGAAGTCAAAGTTGGGACCAACATACAAAAAAAGAAGATAAATATAAAAAGACAGAATCCATCTAGTAATTTTTCTGCATTTTTATGTATGATAATTAATTTTTATAATTTTTGTCGTTTCTTCTTGAATATCTAATTCTTATTTCTTCTTAAATAACTAATCTGCAACAGATTTTTGTGACGGTTTTTTTTATCTCTGTTTTTGTATCATATCATCAGGAATTTGCACGTGGCGAATACTTTACTGATTATTAGGGACTAATTCCAAATTAAACTCATACAATAAGCTACTTTTATATAAACCAATTTGGTGTTATGGAATACAATTGTGGACAGTGCTCAAATGTCCTCAACTAGACAGTAGTAAATAAAATAAAGTATAAAAAAAATAAAAAGGAATTTGAACATCATCACAAGACATGAAGAAATCCGTTGCAAGTCATTTAAGAGAAAAGAAACAGAAAACGATACAAATTATATCATTTTAATTATCAGCCAGAAAAATTACTAGGTTGGAGAAAACATATATCGTACACCCAGCACAGACAACTTCTTTTGTAAACCTGTGTTATTATTATATCAAGTCTGTAACAACTCTTAGACTTAAAAATATTTATAACAATTGTTTTAAATTTGATAAAATGGCCAGTAAATGAAGCTAATAAAATGGTAAATTTTTCTTGCTGTTTGATATATTAATCATAAAGTTTAATATTAGTTTTATGATTTAAAAATATGCTTATTGACCAAGTTTTTTCTCCAATGCCGTCGTACCTTACACCCACTCACCAATTAATTTGTTAGTGGACGCTTCTTACGCATAAATTAGTCTTCCGTCTGAACATGTGATTATATAATAATCTTTCGGTTTAGAATTCAGATTAAAACGATGATTCATTTTTAATATTATCTGTGCAATTGTGAATCTATATGCATTTATAATTAAAAATATTTTTTATTATTTCTAGGATTAATATTTCAATTTCAATTTGATTATGTACATCAAGATTTCTCTCGGGTTTTGCTTAATTTATGAAGTTTTTAGGAAACATTTGTGCAAATAGCTTTAATATCTTTTTTATATCATATCGTTCACTAAAGAATATTTAGTGATAGTGGAGCGAGTTAATAAATAATTACAAAATTTACAACAATATATATCTTTTGCGCTAATAAACTCATATTTATTAAAATACCATACAAATTATTTAAAAATATAATTGAAAGTAAAGTAAGTATCTTCAATATAATTATTTTTAAACGTGATTGGTTGATACAGCGACTTCAAAATTAAAATTTATGTAAAGCCTTTGCGTAAATTAAACCCAAAGTTATTGATGTACAATAATAATTGAATATAATATAATAAGATAATATAATAGAAGTGCAAATTTTCTGTAAATTTTATGCTAAGTATTTTTAACTTGGAGGTATGTAATTTTTATATTTTTTTATATCTTTATATACCATCTATAATCTTTGTTTTGCCTTTTTTCAGAATTTTTTTTATTTTAGATAAAATTTGAATTAAACACAGGTACTTACTACTCACAATGTGTGAATTTCAGGAATATATCTGCGGAGCGAGTCCTCATATTCATACAGGTAATCAAATTTAAAGAATTACATACTCGTATACATTGCTAATGATTATTTTTATCAAGCAATTATTGTTTTATGAAAAATTTATATTTATTTTGTTTAAAACAGGTGTTCAGAACAAAACTTCTATCACTATTCATAATGTAACTGAGCCACAAGATAAAAAATCATTTATTCTGTGTTTATGATTTTTATCTTCAGATTGATTGAATCATTATCTAAAATTAGTATTAACTTTAATTAATTAAGTAAAAGTGGCATTTTGCAATAAGACAGATTGCAAAAAACTTTACAATAGGTGTAAATCAATAGGCAATTAGGGCTTAAAGTGCCAAAAACAGAAAAAAAACGACAAAATCTCCAATCTAATAATTTTTCTTTATGATAATTAAAATTAGACGTTTAATCTCAATTGATGCAGAATTACTTGAAACGTCGAGAAAACTTAAAATTAGCAAGTCGGATTGTAGACTAATTCGATTTGGCGACTCTCAAGTGGTTAATAATATTAAATTATGAATAATTAAATTTAATACATTATCAACTTCCCGTAGGGTAAGTTATACTAATCGCAAAAAATGGAAAATGAAAATTTTTATCTTTACGTTTCAAAGGTTTCTGAATATTTTGGCATACCTTAGAAAAAATGTGTGTAGGTGTGTGCGTATGTGCGTGTGTGGGTGTGTGCGTGTGTGGGAGTGTGCGTGCGTGTGTATGTGTGCGGATACAAACTTTCGTCGACGATTTCGGGAACACTGATCAACCGATTTGAATAATTAAAAAAACATTCGATTTGTATTGATAAGGAGACGTGCTGATTAATTTTTGGCGAAGGCAGGTCTAGCCGTTCCGAAGATACGGGGCAAAAAGGGCCGAAAACGGTAACTCAGTTTTTAAGAGAACGGAGCGGTCGATTTTAATAATTCAAAAAACATTTTACTTGTATTGACAAGATAAAGCATTGATCAAATTTTTATGACGGCAGGTCTAGCGGTTTTGGAGATCCAATAAAAAAAGCAAAAAAAATGTTATTTGGCGGTCCAAAATGTTCATTGGACATATGTACATCAAATTATCAGATATTTTATAGAGGTTTTAATAATGTGTACACATTCTGTGTAATTTTTTATGGGTTTCATACCAAGATTTTTAACTACGGTACGGGAAGTTCCAGAAATTTGCCTTGAGGTACGTGCCATGCACCCCACTAGTTGTACTTAGCTTGGCATCATATTATATAAACTTATTATACTAGCTTGGTAGCATATGAGTCCTGCTCCATTTTACGAAGAGAGTTGCAAGAACTGAGATAAAAGAAAAGTTTCTCATTATGTAAATAATCATTATTTTTATTCTTGGTGCATAAATTTCTATATTTTACATCCAATGTAGAGCAAATCAGCAAACCAAATTTCTCGGTTTCTCAAAAATGACAAAACTGAGAAAAAACTTTGACTTGCAAATTACATGCACGTTGACGGGCACGTTTGGTTTGGTGACAATCCAAATCCTATATATAAACTTTCCAAGTACAAGTCTAAATGAATCAGTCGCTTATGTGACATCGCGACCAACAGACGAGGAGACGAGAAGCATCAGCAACGGACATAAACATATATTTATATTTATGTACAAAAGCTCTCGTTGACTCAAATTTCGAGCGTCGTCTCTTTGCCGAACGACAAATACTGAATTAGAACGAAAAGTAGAGCACTCACGTTCACGTTCGTTCGCGGTTCAGCATCTTATTCCTTGAAAGAATTCATTCATTTTGATTGAATTATTTCATCTGACTATCGTTAGCGTATGAGTGATTCATTGTTTAAATAATATGTTTGCAGTTTAAGAATTTTATAAAAACTTTAAAATGAAGTTGTGGCCAGTTTTGTTGTTGGTGGCTGTTGGATGGGTGCATTGTATGACCGTTGATAATGGTAAGCTTAATTTATAATTATTAATTATGAAATGAACATATATATATATATATATATATATATATATATATATATATATATATATATATATATGATATATGAACATAATCATGCATATAATACTCTTTGTGATCATAATTTATCATTTCATTTATGTAGAGTGGTATCTCTAAATCCATTTCGAAGGGGAGTAACTGTAGAGTCACCACTCTACATGAAAAAAATAATGAATTATAATCATATAAATTATAATATCTAACTATTTTTTGCACAAACAAATGAATAAAATTATGTATATAATAATTAATGTGATTATAATTGATTTATTTATGTAGAGTGGTGTCTCTATATCTACTTCTAAAGGGAGTAGATAAAGAGACATATGTATATAATACTTTTTGTGATCATAGTTTATTAATTCATTTATGTAGAATGTGTCTCTACATCTACTTCGAAGGGGAGTAACTGTAGAGACACCACATCTTCATAAAAAAATAATAATTTGTAATCACATAAATTATTATATATAACCATCTTTTGCATAAACAATTGAACATAATTATATATATTATAGTTTATGTGATTATAATTTATTAATTCTTTTAGTAGTGTCTCTACATCTACTTCGATGGGGAGTAACTGTAGATACACCAATCTTCATAAAAAAATTAATAATATTGCAACAATATAAATTATTATATCTAACTAACTTTTGCATAAACAATTGAATATAATTATGTATATAATACTTTATGAGATTATAATTTATTAATTCTTTTATGTAGAGTGGTTTCTCTACATCTACTTTGAAGGGGAGTAAATGTAGAGACATTACTCTCCATAAACTACCTTTTGAATAAACAAATAAATATAATTATATTTATAATACTTTATGTGATTATAATTTATTAATTCCTTTATGGTAGAGTGGTGTCTCTACGTCTACTTCTAGGGGAGTACATAAAGAGATACCACACTTAATAAAAATTTAATAATTTATAATGACCATAAATACCATACATAAATCATCATATCTAACTACCTTTTGCATAAAAAAATGAATATAATTATGTATATAATAGTTTATGTTATTATAAATTATTAATTCTTTTATGTAGAGTGGTGTTCCCATATTTACTTTGAAGGGAAGTATCTTTACAGACATACATAGAAACACCACTTTACATAAAAGAATTAATAATTTATAATCTCATAAATTATTATATCTAACTACTCTTTGCATAAACAAATGAACATATTTATTTATATAATAGTTTATGTGATTATAATATATTAATTCTTTTATGTAGAGTGGTATATCTACATCTACTTCTAAGAGGAGTAAATGTAGAGACACCACTCTACATAGTTATAATCTCATAAATTATTATATCTAACTACTTTTTGCATAAACATTGTCCTTTACTTCAATTAATTTCTGCTAAATTAATAATTAACATATTAAAATAATTTCAAGTCAACACATCAATAATAATTTTTATCCACAATTTTAAGTCATCACTTCATGATAACAATACAATTAACAATATTTCTTTATGATAACATCGAGCTTAACATAAAAAATACAAGAGTGGATCAATAAATAAAACAATTTTCAACAAAGTTGAAAGTATATTATTGCAATTTTTACTTCTACTTGGAAATTAGTTTCACACGGACTTGCCCTAGAGCATTTATTTAAAAAAATATTCCTAAAAATTATGCCATCAAAAATTGTTTGGATGTTTTCAAGCATCCTGGTTTTTTAAAATAAAGTGAAAATTTATATTCTTTCTTTATTAATTAAGATATTTCCTCATTGGAAGTGTAGTTGAGCTGCTAAATGATAATGAAAATAATATATGGTTGTCTGCCCAAAAATTTCATATTTTTTTTATTCTACTTCCGACAATGTTTTACAGGAAGCACTCTTTTTGCAGAATGGGTCCAATTCAGTTTCCTTTGCCTTTAATGGTCGTACTTGGTTAGAGCTCTTTCTTCACCCTTTCTCAGTTCTTCTTTATTTGTTTCTTTAAATTTTCACTTTAAAAATGTGAATTTGTGATGAATTTGATTATTTTTTTTATCGAGAATATTATTAGGGAAATTAAACAATATTTACTTTATATATATTTTTTTCTGCTTGTTCTGTATAGTTTCGTTATCGTTAATTATTTGTTCATAATTATTTTGTCTCTATTTGATTCATTATATTTGTATGAATTAAAACTATTAAAATATACTATAAACTATTAAAATAATCTATATTGTAATGTTATGTTAGGTATTTCAATCTATAATTCTTTGTTAATTATAATAATGACGAATAATTATTATTAAGGTACAGAAATTATGATAGATATCGTGTTTATTACATTTTATTGGGTTTATTTCAAACTGGATCATCTATATTTTTGTGACCTTTGTAACCGAGATACTTTTCTAGACAGGATTTGTCCCAATTTTGAGTTATATATCCGGCAGACATTTCGTAAACAAATTTTGGCACTGAAGCAAATCGGGACCATTGAACTCTCTTTTTTTAAATTATTTGTATATTTATAGTCATTCATATATAAATGGATTAATGAAAAATTGGCCATAAGAATTGAATTTGTAATTGTGAAAGATAAACAAATATTTAGCAATAACGACAAATTCCAGAGCGCAAATATTTGATATCAGTTTTAAAAGTGAACTTAGCAAACTATGTTATCAAGCTGTTGAAAAAAATATTTTGATCAAACTAAATTACTTTTATATCTTCTTCTATTTCGTCCAGTACTAAAAAACAACTATGATATCTATGAATATAATGTTCATATAATATGTTTATTGCAATAAAATGCATGATTTATAATAATTATAATTTATTTACAGCAAGTACGAAAACATTGAGATCAGCAATTACTTCTGATGAATTAGAAATCACAATCCGTGATTTAAAACCAAGAAAAACAGGAAGAACTCTTCCAGAAGTCCTCTTGGCTGTAGATTTTCCTCATGCAGCATATAGGTTCACAATTCTTTTGGATTGGACGTCACAAACAGGTAAATAAATTAAAAATAATTAATAAATAGAAATAATAAATAGTGTACATACTAGGGTTTGTCGGTTTTCAAAAACCGGTTTTTTGACGAAAATTATGGAATTCGAAAACCGGTTTGTCAGTACAAAAATTCGGTTTTCTCTGTATAAATGGAAAATGGCAAAAATAGCCAAATATAAAAGATAGATGCAAGCGTTTTGATTCTTGAAATCATATCGGTTCATTCAACCATTATTTTATACCTGTGTATATATTAATTTAAAACCAGTGGCGGATCCAGCTTCGGCGTCAGGGGGGGGTCATAATTGAAAAGTTTTTATAGTCCTCAATGAGTATGTAACAAATTTAATATATATATATATATATATATATATATATACACATATAAGATAGAGCGGGGCTTCGCGGGTAAAAAGGTCCACCACCGATATCTCAAGGAGGTTAAGGATTAAAGTAAAGTTAAGGATTTCTTAACAACAATATTTGAAAGTGGAAGGAAAAATGTACAACCAGCCATCACCCTGATTCTTACGACGTTAAAAGAAGCATTTTTACAAGAGATAAATTAAATAAATATTTATTTCAACTTTGCTGGTTGTTAAAATATCAAATTAAGGTTATATATAGAGTTATCTCTGTAAAAATGTATCTATAAAATTCATATTTTTCATTGGTTGAATAATGTAGCTAAACCCCTTTAAAATTAAGAATAGTAAATTGGATTGTTTGTCCTCTCGCCGTCCGATTTTACCCCGTCTATGGGGTAAAAAAGACTAAATGACAAATTTTTAAAAAACAGAAAAAAACACATTTTTACAGTGATGAATTAGCTGGAAGTTGGACTAAAATATAGTCAGATGCTTTTTATTTGATGTGTCCTATTGGTTGTTATGTTTTTTGTTTAGTTTTCACAATATAATTGCTCAAAGTTAAATTGGACCCGCCTAACCTTATATATGTGTATTTTTTTAAAAATAATCTGCGTCTTTGACGTAAGTCAAATTTTGACCTTTCCTCGACGTTTTCTCGTCTGAACCGATGTTAAAATTTAAAAACTATAAAATGAAACTGGATAAGCGCTTGCGTTGATTAGTTTTTTGAGAAAATTGGTCGATCCGTTTCTTTACTATTGGCAGAAAAGTGCAAAAATTATCGTCCATGTTTTTGTCAAAAATTCTTAGCCGTTTTTGCTTAAACTATTCGATTGATATCATTTGGAAATAAATGGTTTCTGGCGAAGATCGGTCAAGTCGTTTCTTTTTCATAATAGGTTGTCATTTTTTTGCGATTTAAGTGAAACTTTACATGGCGATAGAGTTTCTGCTCTAAATGAACGTACTAAACTAGGCCTGCGACAAGTGGTTTACTTATGATAATTAAAGTTTTGGATTATTTTCCATCAATGTGTATTATTCAAACCATTTTTCAAAAATCACTACTATATTTGAAAAAAATTTCAATAGTTTCTCACTTCAAAATGGTTTACAGCGATGGACAAAACGTGGACAAAAAAATGCGGACATACAAAATACACACACACACATATCAATTTTTTCTGAGGTATGCCAAAGTATTCAGGTATCTTCAAAACGTCGAGAAATGCAAAAAAATTCATTCAAATCTAAAATGATTTTTTGCATTTCTCGACGTTTTGAAGATATCTGAACTCTTTGGCATACCTCAGAAAAAATAGATGTGCGTGTGTGTGTGTTTTGTATGGCCGCATTTTTTGTCCACGTTTTAGGGCGCACATATCAACCGATTTGAATGGTTCAAAAAACAATCGATTCCTATTAATAGGGAGATGAGCTGATTAGTTTTTGGCAAAGGCATGTCCAGCAGTTACGGAGATAAAGAGCAAAGAGTTCAGAAAATAGAAATCGAGTTTTTGAGAGAACGGAGCATCCGATTTGAATGACATAAAAAACATCCAATTTGTAATGATTGGGAGAAGATATGATTAGTTTTTGGCAAAGGCAGGTCCGTCCATTTCGAAGATACAGAGACAAATGTGCAAAAAATGGTAGTTTTTGAGAGAACTGAGCGACCGGTTTGAATGATTCAAAGAACTTTCTGCTTGTTTTGATAAAATAATTGCTTTTGAAAAAAAATTGTTTCAATTTTTTTTTTCAAAATTTATTTTTTTTGTATATCGAAAATAATTCAGATTTTAATTTTAATTCTGACTTAAGATTAAAACTTATATACTTTAAATAAATAGTTTTAACTTTGCAATTCAGTTTATATAATTTTTATAAATATTGGACATTGTTACAGTATTTTTAACAATCTATTTGAAAACATTTAATATTCCTCGAACATTTCGTTACGGTACGGGAAGTTTCAGCAATTTGCCTTAAGGCACGATGCCATACACCACTATTTTATATGTTGATTAAGTCGTCTATTAATAGGATTACTGAAAGTTCTTGCATAAGGGCCACTCACAATCAGTTTATTTTTTTGATTTTTGAATGAATTTTTTTTCCTAAACTGTAATAAAACATATATTCGCAATACGATTAGAAAATCCTTAAATTTTAGGGTTTTTGATTCCGCCATTCGTCTACAATCAGTTAAATATTCGAGTTGTAAAATATGTTTGGTAACAAAATACATAAATAAGATCATTATGAAGTAATTTTGTTGTTGAATTAGTGTTTTATCTAAGTCCTAAAACAGGCTCAGGGGGGGGTCATGACCCCCGTGACCCCCCCCTGGATCCGCCACTGTTTAAAACAGTGTGTCTTCTTCCTAAAGCAGTAACTTTCTCTACTCAAATTTCAAAAAAAAGAGTAAATTTTTAGCCCTAGAAGCCACAAATAAGAAAACAAAATCTTATAATTAATATATCAGGCTTTAAAAACAATTAAACCTGGTTCAGTTGCTTGATAGACGTTCTCATTTTTTTTAAATCACATTTTATTAAACATTAAAATAATTACAATTTTTAAAATGTTTTTTATTTAAAAATGTATTATTTTCATTTATTCGAAAACTTTTCTTTCACTGAAAATGATGGCAATAATGAATAACGAATAATTATTTTCAACTTAAATTTAGAAAATATTAGTTAAATTTTGCATTCCATTTTACAATGTAAAGGGTTGTAAAGTCGTTGATCGTAAAGGGTTGTATGAATTATTAGTCTTAAAATCTAATTGCAAAAACTTATTATGAACTTTATATTTGTACTTCAGTAACAGTATTATTGTATATTTCTTATTATGGCGATCTACTTTTTTCATAACTGGGATTTAAAAAATGATTTTGTCGTTTGCTTATCGAAACTAACATGTTGCAAATACGAATTCCAAGAAAACTGTGACTATTATAAATATAACATTATAATTAGTAATGATATCATATTTATGAAAAATGTTTTTGTATTGCAAAGACGACATATTAATTATGTAATAAGTATTCAAAATATATGTCAATGAGGCTACATTATCTTTGAGGTCATCTTACTATCGAGAATAAGTACGATTTGATATGCTCATAATGGACATGTATAAAAGTTTAATAACCTAATTAGTTCCTTTCATTCAAAGAATATATCTCAATTACTCAACTCAATTAATACTCAATGAGTAATTGAAATTGGATTGATGACTTTGATGTATATTGATAGATATCCTAAAATTTGCTCATATGAAAAATTAATCAGGAATTCATCATTTTATAGAGAAAGTAACTGAATTAACTAATTTTCTTTTGTTGTTTTATGTACATTCATAGTATAAACTTGGCCCAAAAATTTTATTTACAAACAGCTTTCAACAAAAGATTTTTCTTAATTAGTATCATTCATGAATACTAGATATATAGATAATAAAAACATTAATAATTATAAAATAAACAATTAAAATTCAACGAACAAAAGTATTATATTTTTCATTAAAATTTCATGAATAGTATAGTGACAGTATATAGTCACATAATATAGTTACAGTATTAAAATATCAGGTTCTTTCTAATAATAAGTTGAAATTATTTTTATCAAACTGGCTATAAGAATTATATATTATATTGTTTTTAAATTTATTATATCTCTTTGTGAAAATTAGTTTTTCAAAACTCATTAAACGAATAATAAGTTTTTTTTATATGTATTAGAAAATGAATTTAAAACTATTTTATTTGTAAGAAAACTCAGTGCACGTGATGTCAGGATTTCGTGCACTTCATGTCTGATTGTATTTTTAGTTGCAAATAATGAGGATATTTTCAATCTTTTACTTTTTAAAAATGAAATATATCTACATTCAAAATAAAAATGTTCTAAATATTAACAAAAACTAACTGAAGATTGTTACTGAAAAATTCTAGTATTTTATTTCAAATATGAGGTAAATACTATGAAATACATTGTAATTCAAACATTAATATTTTTTACTTTCGTTTCAAGTTGTTTTGGAAACTACCAGGCTTGGTCAAAGCGAGTCAAAACAAGCATTTGCTTTACCAAACCTGGACACCGAGTCCTTTGTCTCCTCATTAATCCTGCACGTCAGACAGGAGCGTCCTGATGCCCGAATTGAAGTGTATGAAAACTGTGAGCTAAGGGGCACTTTCCATACCAATACCACTTTTAGGGACGCATTCGAGTCGGAAGATGATCACAAGAGGGTTGTCAAAGTGGTAAGTTATAATAGAATTATAGTAATAAAATTATAATAGAATTTTAGTAATAAAATTATTGTGATTGAAATGGACAAATTCAAGAAAATTGCAAATTTTTTAGTCAAGTTAAGCTTTATTGAGTGTTAGATTTAAATAATAAAATAATAAAAATAAATAAAAATAAAAATAATAAAAAAAAACACTTGCAAGTTGCTATTTCGAACAAATTTCACTCCTTAGGTTAAATTTTTCTCTCCGTGGGTTACAAAGTATTATTTCTGATTTATTTAAAGCGAATTAAAATTTTTGACAATGCAAAATAAAGTAAAGAAGATACTGGTTAGATTTTCTAAATAATTAAAAATTGTTAATCCCATAGATAAAAAAAGTATATGATTAATCCTAATACCTTTATACACAACACAACTGTATAAACATAAATCTTATTACCATTTAAGGGGTTACTCGAACAATGTATTACTCGAACAAATGCAATGATCTATATGCTAAAGATATTAGAATATATGAATTGAATATAGAAAATTTTGTTGCAATTTTGTTTTCATAAAAATTAAATAATAAATCATATTTACTAAAAAGTATCAAATTCAGAGCATATCGTCTATGTTTTACTAAAGATATAATTTTCAAATTCAATTCAAATTCATTCAATTATTCTCTTCCAAGTTGAATAAATTCACCATCAATCACAAAGATGAAAGGCGCGGCTCATGTAGGAATGCTCGTGTTTTATAATAATTATTATTCAAAACAAGTTATAAAATAATTGTTTTGATATCTGTATATGTCTCGGAGAATCTGAATGAAACCTTGTTTAGAATGGTCAGACGTCATGACAATATCATCTGTTTTTTATGGACATAGATTGGGAACATGTTTATAAATAAAACATAAACATATTGTATATTTTTATATAAAGTATCAAATGTCTGTAGTATATAAAGAATCAAATATTTAAGCACATAGGGAAATTCTCAATTTGTGTTATTTTTCCTAAGTCAAACCTCTTTTAAATTGTTCAGAAATATTAAATTTGATTAATTTGTTGACCTCAGTAATTTATTAATTAAGAAGAACAATAATTATTAAAATTCAACTAATATATGGTAGGGCAGGGCACAAAGGTCCAATTTGACTTTGATCAATTATATTGTGAAAACCAAACAAATCATATCACAACAAATAAAACATATCAAACTAACAACTACCTGACTATTCCGTAAAATTCCCAGTTAATTCATAATGGTAGAAATGTGTTTTTTTTGCTATATTTTAAAAATTTGTCATCTGGTCCTTTGTACCCCTTAGTTAGTGTAAAATGAGACAGCCAGGGGCACACAAATTTAATGTCTTATTTTTAATTTTAAAGAACTTTTACGAAATAATAGATTTATTATTTGATCAATGCAAAATATCATCATTAGATTATTATTATTATGAGTAAATATTTTGCGAAGATAACTCTGCATATAACTTTAATCTAGTATTTTATCAGAAAAAATTGTCAGCATAGTTGAAATAAGTATTTATTTTATATATTTTATGCAAAACTGCTTTTTAAACTTTATTTTTTCTTTTATTCACTATTCTTATCGTTAACACTTTTGAAAGAGTAAAGGTTTAGTTGGTCTCTTTTACCCCAACTACATGTAAGTTTTTATAGTGGTTAAAAAAACTGTTGAGTCCTACCTAAAAACAACAATGCAGTTTTCAAAACATTTAAATAACGTAGACTTAATAATTCTATTAAGGTCTAAACAACAGTGCTCACAACCAAAAAACTACCAATGAAAGAAAATAGTTTTGGTATGGATTTTCATACATTTGGCTGGTTACATATATTTTGTCCTCTACTTTCAAATATTGTTTTTAAAAAGTAATTAATAATTTACTGGTTTTTGCGATATCGGCGATGGACGTTTTAGCCCGCAGATCTTTCAGCACCGCTCTAAATCTAAAATCTAAAATCTAATAGCGTCTTGACACGTAAATGTAGTCATATGACATTAAAACACAAAACTGTATATTTTAAATATTTCTATTACTATTTCCAGTATCGCGACAGAAGGATGCCCCTAAGTGTTGACGGAGGTACGACCTTACAGAAGGAACTCGCTCGTGTTGGCTGCCACACTTCGAAGGATGCAGAATCCTACCAGGAAATCATGCAGATGCAGGCTGATGGAGTTCCCAACAACATTAGACGCGGAGACATTCCTATTATGCATTCCGATTGCGACGGTAAAATAAATTATAATTAGAATCTATCGAAATCTTCGTGCAAATCTCTTTGTTATTGAACACATAGCACAGTATATTATTAGATTAGTATTACTGGCAGTTGTAGTTTGTAGTGATACATGCTAATTGCATAACATTTTTTTACTCTTATTGCTGGTTTAAAAATAAATCCTATCCATCGATGATGATGTATTGTATGAGATGGATACATTGCAGTACATTTTACTAGAGGTTTATAAATATCTTTATTACAGATTTGTTAGTACAAACGCTGATAGAATTAATAGCAGTCGTAAAACATTTGCGTGGAGAAGTTGAACAACAAAAAGGAGACATTCATTGGATACGCAACAAATTGGAACAATGTGATATTTGCAATAGACCAGAACCAGTTAGAGAAATTGATTGCACGACGTACCCATGCTTCCATGGTAAGAATGATAAAAATTATTATAAGAAACTTAGTATAAGAAATACCTAAGAGTACGATTTTAACTCTTTGGGAAAGGCTGTCCACTTTAGTGGACAAACATACTCTGTGAGGCACAGGCTATTTTATAAGCAATGACTCAGTTTGCATCGAAAAGTTGAATAAAATACATATAGCAGTGATAAACAGTGTTGTATTTTGAAAATAATTTTAAGTTATTTTAATAGTAGTTTTTACCTTTTTTCTTTGCTATATAGTCTTTTTTTAATATTTAAAACGACCGAGCGCTTTTGAATATGGCAAAACGACTGGTAAATTTTGTAAATTAAGCAGTAGTGAAGATGAGTTTCAAATAGACATTCATACAGACAAATTTTACGAAATTACTATTCGCACCGATGATAGTGATGAATGTGATGATGATATTATCCAACCAACAAAAAGAAGAAGAAGTTCGACAAATTAAATGAAGAGCGGAAAGACATTAGCGAATGTGCCGATTCTCCTTCAATAATCGAGTTTGACATACATTAACAAACACCCCGACTACAAATACCAAGCAATATAAGACATCCAATAGATTATTTTACTTTATATTTTACAAATGAATTATTAGACAATATAACAGAAAAAACAAGCCATTATGGCAGCACAAGAATGAAAAAATATACTGACTAATCAGTGGCATATTGCGAGGGAAAGAAAAGAGCGGCGAACAACATTTTATTGTAAAACATGTCAAAATCAACCAGCTATGCATTTTAGAAATTGTTTTGAACGTCACCATTCTTTATAAAATGATCAAGAATAAATTAATATTATATTTATAAATGTATGTCTTCCAATGACCACAAATTTTTATCAAACAAATTGCATAACATACACAATGAAATCAAGTTTACAGCAGGTACAGTAGATTGTTTTGAAATCGGTGTCGTCCCGTAGGTGTTAAAAATTGGACTGGAGAGTTTGGAAAAAAAATGAATTTTTTATTTATCCCAAGTTTGCTGATTTTTATTTGCCTATTTAATTTATTATGCTCAACATCTAATAATTATTTGTACTAGGCAAAGAATATTTTTTAATGGGCAAATATTAATTGGTAATAATTACTTAACTACAAAATAACATTGGACAAAACTATGATATTAGTGTCTTAGCAAATGATAAAATTCTTACTTATGACTGATTTTTTTTTCTAGGTGTTCATTGTACAAATACTGCCAGAGGCCCAATCTGCGGCCCATGCCCTCGTGGTTACATAGGTGATGGAAGGGATTGCAGGCCTGGACTCAAGTGTGATGACCGACCATGCTTCGAAAATGTACAATGTTATGACACTCCTGAGGGTGCACAATGTGGACCTTGTCCTAGTGGTTACGAAGGAGACGGAAGACAGTGCAGAAGACGTGGAGGTTGCGAAGCACGCCCTTGTAGCGCAGGTAATTAAATAAAAAACTAGGTGTGAGTGGCATTTGACTTCAAGACCAGATACATAATTTTTCCAATATAAGTAAATAACCGACTTAATCAACGGAATTTGAGAAGAACAATGTTTAAAATTGTGGCAGATTTCCATATAGAGACAAAACCGAAATCAAAATTTAGTATACTATATTTTGAGTCTTGTTAACTTTAAGAGCATTTTTCCTAATAATTTTTTAGAAAATTAAAATTTATAGTTATAAGTAAATGTTCAAGATTACATTTTTTGTTATCGAAGATTCAGTTAATGAATGATTGGATAAATAGCAGTTTGCACTTTGAATTTGAATGCCATTCTAATCTTATGATTACATATTTATTAACATCCCGGAAAAGATAGTTATGTTACAATTTTATTTTATGATTGATTTATGTTTATTACCTAAAATGTGTTCGTTTCTCAATTATGCTTATCTATATTATTTTCCTCAGGTGTGCAATGTGTGGATACTGATTCATTCCCATACTACCGTTGCGGATCATGTCCTGCAGGATTCACCGGAAATGGAACCAATTGTCGTGATCTTGATGAAGTTAGTACCAAAATCAAAACCAAAACCACAAAGTACTATCGACAAAGACAATTTTATAGTCAATTTGATGGTCGTTAAACCATCGAATAGAAAAGCAATTATTCTCAATGTTACCAATCTTCTCTCAAATAACTTGTATTTTCTAAATATTAAATTATATGATAATTATCAAAACGGTTTATATTAGATTGTACTTCATTAAATAGAAAGTCTACAAGACTATTTTTTTGAAACATTTTGAAAGAAACTAAATATTAAATTAAATTCAACTTGAGTCATTAAGTGTCTGACTTCTTCTATTGCTACAAAGTATTATCTACAATAATTAGCTCATAGACAAACAAATATAAGCTCAAATACAAACAAGTTTATGAGTTAGCTTAATTAAAGTATAAATAAAATACAGCATTTTATATCTGTTTAAAACAATGCTGTATTAGTTTGTCACATATGTCTTTATAATATGATTTTGTATAAAATATTACGATATGAATAAAAGTGATGGAAATAATAAGAATATTTTTATTGTTTTCATAAATATATTACCTTACCATCAATTTTTATATTTAATCTTAGTACGCAAAGTTATTTCTCAGTTGGAATTAAATTAGATAGAAAAAGTCAGACATAAATAACTGATTAAATTATTTTCTAATTTAAATTAATTTGAGATCGTAATTTTACGTTTGAGGCGTTTGTTATGTCTAACATAATTAAGTTTAATAATTTCGCTCATAAGATTTATATATTTATCTCTTTTTTACGGTTTGTTAAACACTGCTGTATTTGTACCAAAACATATTTTAAGATTTTCCTGAAGAGGGGTCCATTAATCACGTGATCGATTTTTTAGGGATTTTTAGACCCCTCCCTCCGTCCTGATATTTAAAGTTACTCTCCCCCACCAAACATCACGTGTTTTAGTTACGTAAAATTTTCGAACAATTTTTTTAAATTTACGAATTTTAAAAAAATAATAGGTAAAAGAAATATACGTGATATCTAACTAATTTTTTGTGATTTTTTGTCAAACTCCCACCTTCCCCTAAAAGCCACACGTGATTAATGGACCCCCAACTAAATATCACAGTAATATATTAGAATTCGCAATAATTTAACTCAAAATGATAAATCTCAAAGCAATAGTCGACAAAGTAGATGTCGGATGCTTTATAGGCCACACTCGATACATAGGTTGTTATGCGTATGTCGTCTATAGGCGACGCTTGTACCGATAGCGTCAAATAATTATAAAATATTTTTTTAAGCAAATAAACAAAATCTGTTGAAGAGTTTAGCAATAGGATTCAATTCATTCGCAATTAATGAAAAATGCATAAAATGCAAAGCATAATGCTTGAATGCTTGAATAAAATATCTTTTCTATTTATTTTATAATATTATTAGTAATCGCAAAAAAATCGAAAATGTCGTCTCTATGGTGCTGTTCACAATTTCTAAAATATTTTAAAATAAAGAAAATAAAAAAAATTTTTTTTTTTTAAAAGTATTTTTTTTAAATAATCCTTTTTTAAATGTCACTTTTTTCCAAAAATTTAAAGTTTCTCAAGAACAGAATTTTCTCAAAGTTTAAAAAAAAATCTTTTTAAAAAATTTAACTTTTGATACGAAAAATTCCAGCAAGTTGCCTTAAGGCGCGATGCCCTACACCTCTGGTATTATATGTATATTTACTTCTCTGCCCATAATAAAATATGTAATTTTTTCAGTGCGACCTAGCAGAACCGTGCGACCCGTTGACCCGCTGTTACAACCTGTCGCCCGGTTATCGCTGTGACGCTTGCCCGGCCGGCTACCGCGGTGGTGCCGTAGAGGGTGTCGGCATAGAGTACGCGAGACGTAACCGCCAACGCTGCGAGGACATCGACGAATGCCAAGACGGACGAAACGGTGGATGTGTGCCCAACAGTGAATGTATCAATACGGAAGTAAGTAATATTGAAATATTCAAAATATTTGTTATTAAGCAGCTAAATAAGTGAAGTAATATTAAAACTTAATTTGGGTTGAATAGGGCATAAATTAAACTTGAATTGATTGTAATTAAATATTCTGACTTCTGTATTTAAAACATTGCTACTTTATAATTAGAAAAAAAATTTCTCGGTTTTTAAATATATCTTAAATTCAATTTCTTATTTGTTTGTGCATCAACTCAAACAATCATTTTGCATATTTTTCACGTTACGTTAGATATTAAATTAATTACTTTATTAATTTAATTTTTTTGCTCGCCAATTTAGTACTCTGTTTGTGATTTCATCAGTGAGTCTTTAAAGTTTAAATTCTTTAAAGACATGTTTAAATTGTTTATGGTATTTTAATATAATAACCAAATTAAAAATGCAACCACACAATCAACAAATAAATTAAACCTTCATCAACTGTGGTTAATGAGTTTGAAGATATGAAATATTTTATGAAATAACACAGTGTCTTTTATAAAAAATAATAATAAAAGGAGCATTTAAATGTTCAAATTGTATTTGAAATAATAATAACAATAAATGGAAGTCTGCCTAAAGGCAGGTCCATGGTGTAAAGACATCACAAATCAATGATTTCTTTTGCCCACCTTATTTATTATTTGCATTACCATTTCATTACTTTGCTTTGAATTGCTTTGGTTTTTAGTTCTCTGAGTTTTCTCTTTTCATAGGTCATCAATCATATGCAATTTTCTTTTTCCAAGTTCTTTAAGTCTTTCTATTTTACATTCGGGTAGCTGTCGGTTTCGCAGTTCCGATCCAGTTTCCTTTCCTTACCACGATCGTGATCAGCCCAGTTCTTTGTCCACTCTTCTAGGCATTTTTTCATTTATTATTTTATCTGTAAACTCCATGTCTCTGATCCGTTCAGCGCTATGCTCCAGGCATAACTTTATTAGTCATTTATTAGATTCTTCCGCAAGTTGAGTCTCAGCTTGCTTGTCATTAGCTATTTATTGTGAACGCTTGGTGCTTGCAATACTCGCTTTGTCTCTCTTGTGCAGTATCTAAATCTGGTCAGAATGCTTCCTAAGGTCTTGAAAAAATTCACATCTCTCGATTTTACTTCCGATTTGCCGATGTTGATTTTCATTCCAAATTTTGTAGACACTTTGACGATTCTGATATTCTGCTCATCATCCTTTGTAGCTTCTTTTCGGTATTCGATATCACCACGATATAATTTGTGTGTATTATCGTAGTGATTTTTCTTCTTTCAATCAAAAAAAATTCAAAGTCTACAAGTACCTTGTTGACGAGCCATTCTCCGTATATAGGCTAAACAAGATCGGTAATATGCAGAATCCTTGCCGCTATTTCTATCTATTTCGACACTATTTGTATCTCTCTAATTTATTTACTTTTACATTACCTTATTTGAATTAATAGGTATACATTTTAATTATATGAAATAGTATTTACAATGAAATCACTAGTAATAAAAATTTACTTATTATTATATTTTTTTCTGTGATATCTATTAGGTAGATAGATTTCTTATTATCTAAGTTTAAAACATGGGTGGAGCAACATAAAAATGTGTAGAGTCTTTTATAAATATTCATATATCTATTTGATATTTTGTGACTCATCTAGTTGACCTTGATAGAGAATTCAGACAGTATAATGAACGAATTGTAACGGATAACAAAAATACTAATTTAGGTTTCCATATTTTAGATTTTAAATTATAATGCACTGATAATAAGACAAACCTAGTCTCGAAACGTTTGTAAAATTATTATTTAATAAATCAGTGCAAAAAAGAATGTTGTTTGTTCATATTTATAAATTAATACATATAAACATTTATAACGTATGAAATTTTATATGAAAGCATATAATGCAAATATCACGTTTGTCTAGGAGATGAATGAATGAATGAATTGAATTTGTTATTATGAATCAAATATAAAATTTAAAAAATTTTGCAGATAAGACGTTTAGTGGTGTATCCAAGTAATATACTCACTTAGATGTGAGCACCCTTTAAAAATAACTATTTACATATTATTTTTATTTCCAGGGTTCCTTCCGTTGTGGTCACTGCATGCGCGGTTACCACGGCGACCAGAACATCGGCTGCCACAAACGCGATGGTGTATGCCCTGATGGTACCGTCTGTGACGAGAACGCTGAATGTCGCCACATCGGCGGCGGACGATACCGCTGCAAATGCAAGGCGAGTGTTCGATATCTCATGTGCCCACCACACTTGAGATAGGCAGAAGATGAAAATTATCCAAATTTAATACCAGGCAAACATATATTTGAAACTTGGTCTTATTGAAAAAGTCTTTGGCAACCTTATATTTTAAAATATAGGTTAATAAATTGAATTATCTTGGCTATACTATTTTGAAGCTTTACTTCTTTTGAATGTTGGTTAATCAAAAATGAATCAAATACCATACACAAGCGTTCTGCACTTTAATGTACAAATTTGATTTTATATTTACTTAAATAACATAGAGTAGTATTTGTTATTACCAAGATAAAATGAAATATTTTTTTACTTATGTAGTTAATGTAGGATTGTTCACTAGGTAGCATTATTATGTTGTAAAACAATGTACACTTGGCATTAAACTTTGAATAAAAACCATAAACTTTGTGTCTTATTCATTACACTACTCACCGCACATTAAAAGCACAAATCATATAAGCACACTTCATAATATTGCAATTAATAACGACAATTTTACTAATAACGTAGTTAGATTAATAACTATTGTTCACTAGCATTTAAGTTAACATAGTGTTACTTATATCTATTATTTCTTGTGAACAATTTTCAAAAATTGTGCAGTGAGTTGTGTTTAATGAATATGAAACAATGTTATGGTGAGTGAAGTTTTATGTCTGCGTGATATTTCTTAAGTTTTATTATAAAAGTTAGAGATTGTAAGTAAATTTTATATATAATTAAATATATTTTAAATATTTTATTATAATTTTGTAATAAGTTTTGTGAATTAGGTGGCATTTGCTGGTAATGGATTCTCTTGCGGAGGTGATTTGGATCTTGATGGATGGCCTGATGATGACTTGGATTGTTCCGATCCACATTGCAAGAAAGATAATTGTAAATATACTCCTAATTCTGGTCAAGAGGATGTTGATCAAGATGGAATTGGTAGGCACAACTCTCTAAACCTATTATCAATTAACAATAACAATAATATTATACTCGTATTTCTATATTAGGTGATGTTTGTGATCCTGATGCCGACAATGATGGAGTGTTAAATAATCCAGATAATTGTCCACTGGTATACAATCCTGATCAAAGGGACTCTGATACTGGAGGACCTGACAGACAAGGTAATAGAGTGATATCAAATTTTTAATCATTTCAAGTAATGTTTCCGATCAAATATGCTTGATCTGACCAAATCTCTCATGTTACGTCATCAATTATTTTAATAATGCATTTTGATTTCAGGTGATGCTTGCGATAATTGTCCCAACGTTCCAAACCAAGACCAAGAAGATACTGATAAAGATGGTTTGGGAGATGCCTGTGATGACGACATTGACAATGATGGTATCAAAAACGTCCATGACAACTGCCCAAAAATCCCTAACAGAGATCAACTGGACACAGACGGCGACAGATTTGGAGATGTTTGTGATAACTGCCCAACTGTATCTAATCCTGATCAATCTGATATTGATAATGATCTGATAGGAGACGCTTGCGATAGCGGACTGGATAGGTACAGATATTGAATTTAAATTTTTTTATTGCATATAAATAATATTATTTATGTGTTTTAGGGATCGAGATGGTGTTCAAGACAGCATCGATAATTGTCCAAAGATTGCAAACAGTGATCAATTAGATACTGATAATGATGGAAAGGGTGATATGTGCGACCCAGATGCAGATAATGATGGAATACCAAACGAGCATGATAATTGTCCAATTGCTTATAATCCTGATCAACAAGACGCCAACTCAAATGGAGTAGGTGATCTTTGTGAAGATGACTTCGATATGGACAGCGTGCCTAATTATCTTGATAATTGCCCTAATAATTCAAAAATCTTTTCAACTGATTTTCGAACATACCAGACTGTGGTTTTAGATCCAGAAGGTAATCCTAATATAAATCTAAAATAATTGATAGAATTAAAATTTAAAATCATTTAATATTGCTTTTTAGGTGATTCTCAAATCGATCCTAACTGGGTTATTTATAACAAGGGTGCTGAAATTGTGCAAACAATGAACAGCGACCCTGGATTGGCTGTAGGTTATCATAGTTTTGGCGGCGTTGATTTTGAAGGAACCTTCTTCATCGATACAGAAATTGATGACGATTATGTTGGTTTTATTTTTGGGTACGTTCTATTTTAGTTAATATTACTTTATTTATTGATGCAATCTTATAAATTTAAAATATTTTTATAGGTTCCAAGATAATCATCGCTTCTACTCCGTCATGTGGAAGAAGGATACTCAAACCTATTGGCAGGCTGCACCATTCAGGGCTGTTGCAGAACCTGGAATCCACATCAAACTGGTCAACAGCAAAACCGGTCCAGGTGAAATGATGAGAAACTCCTTATGGCATACTGGTGATGTTGAAGATCAAGTGAGATGATATGACATGGAAAATCTTAATTAAAAACTTGTTTTGTGAATATTTAGCAACAAACACAATATTTTTAGGTGAAACTTCTTTGGAAAGATCCACGAAATGTAGGTTGGCGCGAAAAAACAGCTTATCGTTGGTTACTTTTGCATAGACCTAGAATTGGTTTGATAAGGTTGAGAATATTTGAGGGAGAGAATATGGTCACTGATAGTGGCAACGTATACGATTCTACTTTGAAGGGCGGAAGACTTGGTGTTTATTGCTTCAGTCAGGAAATGATTATCTGGAGTGATTTAGTATATCGCTGTAATGGTAAGTTGGCCTATTATATATGGATTTGATTTTGTAAATATAATCTTAAATATTAACTCAACGATTTACGTTATAGATAATGTGCCAGAAACGATATACCGCGAGTTACCACCAAAACTTCGACAATCTGTTTCAATCGATAACAGTCACGGATCATAATATCGAAACAGGTTTATTTTAAATTATAAATCATTAATATTAAATTATTAGTTTTAAAATAATTAAGTCAATTACATAAGTGGAATATATAGCTTTAACACAATGCCTATCACATTATTCTGAATAATATTAAAAAGATTTATATATTGGTGTTCATTGTTCACAACTGCGTGGATATATTCATATTATACCAAATTAGTATAACTTATGTTTAAGTACTTATATGTTTAAATTATAATATTTTGAATATTAAATTAAATTTAAAAAATACTTAATTTCTTATATATATAATCTAATCTTATATATGAATTAAAAATTTGTTTATATTATAATTTTAAAAATCTGTTCTCAGTAATTTTCTGTAGGGTAAGTTATTGTAATCGTCCTAAAATCTTTACGTTTTTTTAAGGGTTCTGAACATTTTGGCATACCTCAGGAAAAATGGATGTGTGTGTGTATGTATGTATGGATACAATATTCCGTCCACGTTTTTGGGCGCACAGATCAACCGATTCGAAAAACATTCGATTCCTATTGATAAGGAGATGTGTTTATTAGTTTTTGCCAAATGCAAGTCCAGCCGTTTCGGAGATACGGAGCAAAGAGTGCACTTTAAATAGAAAATAGAAATCGAGTTTTTGAGAGATCGGAGCATCCGATTTGAATGATCTAAAAAACATTCAATTTGTAAGGATGGGGAGATGTCGCAATTAGTTTTTGGCAAAGGCAGGTTCAGTCGTTTTGGAGATACAGATCTAAATATGCAAAAAAAATAACAGTTGTCAAGAGAACTAAGCATCCGATTTGAATGATTCAAAAAACTTTCTGCTTGTGTTGACAAAACAATTGCTTTTGGAAAAAAAAATCCATTTTTTTTTCAATGTTTTTTTGTTTATCGAAAATAATTCAGATTCTAATTTTAATTTTGACTAAAATTATAATATACTTTAAACGAATAATTTCAACTTTGTCATTCAGTTTATATAATTCTTATAAATATTAGACAATGTTACAATATTTATAATAATCTATTTGAAAACATTTCATACCCGTCGAACATTTTGTTACAGTATGGGAAGTTCCAGCAATTTGCCTTTAGACACGATCCCATACACCACTAATTTATTTAAATTTGTTTTTTGGGGATTTGTTATATTATATTATAAATTTATCCCTAAATCATAGTATTAAGTAAAACATGACTTCCATAATTTTTCAGATTTTTATTTATGGCAGTAAAATTACAATAATATACGATTATATAATTAAAATTTGTTCCATATTATATACATAACAAATAATAAATCTCTGATTTAGTATATTTTTATCCTATGAGAAAATATTTAATATTTTCCTCATAGCTTTTAACAATATTCCAAAATAATTACATCATCTGTAATATTTTCTAACAAGTTAAAGTATGAACGCAATGAGCAATTTAATAACCAATCATAATTTAATTATGATTTGTTCAAAATACGTAGTTAACAAATTAATTTGACAAAAAAGCGTGTATTTTAAAGTTAAATTTAAATTACTATTGAAAAACATTATATACGTTTTGTACAAACCTATTGACTAGGGGTGTTATCTGAATAATGAATGACATCAATTAATTTATGAAGGGATATATCTACTTATATCTGTCTATATTAATGTTTATGTTTGCACTGAGTTTATTAATATTAGTTGTTTCTAAACATGAGAATCATTCGTAATTTGGCTTGTTAAGAAGCAAAAAGTATATCTAAAATACGTTATTTAAAAAATTACAACAAAACATGCTTTTACAATGTTAGCTAAATTTTTATCTTTAAGGTAATTTATTCAAACTTAATAATTTAAACATTCTAAAATTTGTACTTAAGTTTATAATTCATTAATACGCTAATATATAACAAAGGGTTTATATTTATAAAATATTTTTAATTAATTATTTATAGATCTTTGATTTTAATGAGAATATGACACCGTTGCATGAAATTGTACACTTATCAGGATATAAGATATTTATTGGCTAACATTTATAAGACATTGATCTTTGAATTAAGTAGGGGGAAGTCCCGTAACGCCGTACAGCACATAATACCGGACACTCTATTTAACACGTATTATTTAAGCGAGTATAATTCTTTTTATATCAAAATACAAGTAAAAGGGGCGCGGGAGGTACACAGGTGCAGGATCACCCGCCAGGGCTCATCTGTGACGAACACGGCCACGGCGGGAGCAACCCTTTGCTGTTTTAGGCGCAAAATCACGGCGTCACCTAAATATCAATGGAAGTAATTCTAGCATATTTAAGTGGTATGCAAATATAAAAGTTGTACTTGATTGTTATCTATAAAATGGTAGAATATCATTAGATCTTTCAAACAATTTTAGTAGGTGCCACCAAATGAACGGACATGTCTGTCCCTTAGCACCGGACAATAAGTCGTCTCTTAGCGCCGGACAGTAAACATATTGATATTTCTTGTGAGAGTTGACGTAATTCATTTTAATTATTTAATTTTGTTCTGTATGAGTGCTAATGGTAACTACATACCCCCATTTTTCGTATTTCCTAGTCAAAGAATGAAAATCCTATGATGAATGCTCCAGCTGAGAGATAAACATTTCGTAAAATATTTTTTGATTTATTTATAAATAACCTTAGGTGTCCGGCACTCGGGGACTTCCCCCAATAGATGTTTAGAAGAATATTATAAATCGGTATATTAAATCGAACAAGGTTACATATTTAATTTTTAAACAATTTTTGTTTTGAAACGTTAACAAAATATATTGCTTTCTTCTACTACAAATATTGGGACCAATTCTCTGATGAAGTAGAAATGTACCATGGCGTTGTCATGGCAACGCTATGTTAAGGTCCAATCTTCGTATGAATTGGTATTAAAAACTTTCAAAAAGCTATGTTTTTGCTGTGCAGTCAGGCATTTTTCATATAAAACCTAACCTAGAAAAACGCACAATGTTATCGTAAGTGCATCTTTTTTCAATGTGTCCTTGATAACACATACGTGAAGTTAGGTTTTATGTGTGAAACGCCTGATCGCACAGCAAATACATAGCATTTTGACTTTTTTATTACCAATTTATATGAAGATACGATTGCAACATTTCTATTTTATCGGAGCATTGGCCCCATAGTTTGATCATATTTAAACTTAAAATACTTAAACGACGAGTATAAAGTAGCACAACCTGGAAGGTCTTCCCACGCTATCGGAAATCAAATTTTAGTTCAAAACCATTTTTTAAATTTCGAGTAAACTTATCGTATACAATCTCTAAACATGTCACATTTAACACGACGCATAATGTATAACAGTTACACTTATAGAAAAGTCCATAACAATTCAAGAAAATAGAACTCATTTCCTGCCATCTTCCATTTTATCTAATTCGACCAGTTCGTGAGGTTCCGCCAGGACTCGGTCTCGGTCGGTCGGCTTGTTCGCCAATTCTCGCCTGGACATGTGGTCGACGATGATGGTTCCGAGGGTGTCGCACATCACGTTTATCGTCGTCCTGAATCGGTCACTGGAGGAAAAAAGATTTATTAATCTAATTTGTAAGGTAATTTAATTCAATATATTTCAGTCATTATAGTAAATTCACCTCGGAATTCGAGATATCCAGCTATAAGTCTGTAAATGCTGTATATTGACACCCTAAAAGTTGTCTCAAGACCTACATATGGTACGTACACCCTACCATGTGTAAATTTTGAAACAACTTTTAGGGTGTCAATATACAGTATTTACAGACTTACAGCTGGGTATCACGAATTTCGAGATTCTTATCTAATTTAAGCTTAAATGACTGGACTAATAAGAAAAATAAAATTTTTGATCTGTAATGAATTGCGTGAGAATATTTATTTTTAAAAAGTATTTTTTTCTAGATATTTTTTTTCAAAGCAGTTGGAATTCAGTAGAAAATGTGTTATCTATGAACCAGTTCTCGGATAAATTAGAAATGTTATGATACTATTACGGATCTATAATCGTATGAGTTGGTGGTCACAAAAAGTCGAAAATCTGTGTATTTTTGCAATCACGCGTTTTATAAAAAATACCAAACATTCAAATAACAATTTTATCATAACTGCAAATTTCTGGTGTTACTTTGATATTACATACGTAAAGTCTAACTAAATATAAATATTATTATGACGTTTTGGAGGTTATGTTTTATAGGTGAAACGCTTGATCACACAGTAAATAGATAGTTTTTTGTCAGTTTGTGACTACCAACGCATACGATTATAGACTTGTATATAACATGATCATATTTCTATTTTCTCTATTTTTTTCTATTCTATTCTATTTTATTCGAAAACTGTTGTTATTAGCAGGAAAAACGATTAACTATATATATATTAATTAATTTTATGTTTTCATGACTTTTTTGTCTATTTAAATCTAGACAAAACTCTTCCGGCAGCATTTTTTCGATAATGGTTTTACAAATTTCTTCTTTACAAAATTTTATCTTCGATAATGACTCGCTCACGTTGATTAGTTTTGCATAAAAATCGGTCGAGCCCTTTTTGTGATTTGGGCAATAATAATTTTCTAAAACTAGTGGTGCATGGCATCGTGCCTTAAGGCAAATTGCTGAAACTTTTCGTATCAATAATTAATTTTTTTTTTTATCTTTTTTTCAAAGCAATCGAGATACGTTAGCCCCGTAAAAACGAAATATCGAAGTACAGGTAAACACCGGTACAGAACCTATAGTAAACAAAATTTGTTTTTATTATTAAATTATTTATAAAATATTTGATAATTTGATGAGCATATGTCTAATGATCATTTTTGTCCGCCAAACTTCTTTTACTTTTTTAATTGGATCCCTGAAACCGCTGGACCTGCCTTACCAAAACTTTCACCATGTCTTCATTTTGTCAATACAAATAAAATATATTTTAAATGATTCAAATCGGACGTTCCATCCTCTGTTGGATAACCATTTTTGGCACTTTTTGCCCCGTATCTTCGGAATGGCTAGACTTGCCTTTGCCAAAAACTAATCAGCAAGTCCTTATAAAAAAAATTGAATACAAATTTGAATTATGCAAATTGGTTGATCCGTGTTCTCGAAATCGTCGATGAAAAATTGAATCCGCACATACAACACACATATGCACACACATACCTATATCAATTTTTTCTAAGGTATGCCTAAATGTTCAGAAATCTTTAAAACGTAAAGATATATAAAAATTTTCATTTTCGATTTTTTTGCGATTACTATAATTTACCCTACGAGAAGTTAATCATTATAAAAATTCAAAAACTGTTCAAAATATATTATAAATATTGTTAATTGGCTGCTTAAGACGACTTTAATTGACCGCGTCTTTATAATTAGTCGAATATTGTGTCAAACAACAAAAGAGCATATTTTTGCATCTACGTTTTTTCACAAAAACCAAATCAAATTTAAATTATTTTAAGATGATTTGAAAGAAATCATTTGATTTGTATGTATTAATTTTGGGTTTGGTCATTTAAGTTTTTTTTTTTAAATTTTTTGTCACTACGTAATGATTTCAAATCTTTGTGATCAACTTAATTATTGTAGAGTTTATGTAAATTGTATCATGGCAAAATGTTTTTCAGTTAATGTTATATGTAACTTGTTATATATGATATAAAGAATTCATATGATGTCTATATTCATATGAAAACCACTTAAAACTAAATTCTAAAATATCTGTAAATATAATTCTTATCATTATCTGTTAATATAAAATTTATCACGAGAGGAAGCTATATACAACGCCTACGCCTTAAAATCTAGTCCTATAACATCTGTAAATAAAATCCTGAAATCTTGTTGATATACTTACAGCAGCCAATCTACAGCAAAGATTATACTGACATCTTCAGCTGGTAGTCCAACTGTGTCCAATACCATAACCATAGTAATGAGACCTGCTTGAGGAATACCTGCGGCACCAATACTGGCTGCTGTCGCCGTCACACTATAATAGATATTTCATTCATTTTAACTTTAACTAAAATATGTATATGAAGAGAAATATGTTTTTACTCACCATACAGCTACAATTTTTCCGAAGGTAAGTGGAACCATTCTCATTTGTGCAATAAATATAGCAGCAACGGCTTCATATAAAGCTGTACCATCCATGTTAATAGTTGCTCCGACAGGAATCACAAATCTGGTAACACGGGGGTCGATACCACGATGATCCAACCAGCCAATGGTAATGGGCATAGTTGCTGAACTAAAAATTAAATACGTTATAATTAAAGAACTAACTTCTTATATCTATTGGTTAATTTCAATAATTGAATTAACGGCACCAATTTCGATACATATTGGTTTTTGAGTCATAAAATGTTTTGATTACAGGTACTTTTATGAAAATATAAAAAAAACATATAATGCTTTACAAGATGCTTTTTTAGTGGTTATTGATACACTATTATTGATAAAATAGTTCATAACCATGATAAAAACGCCTAGTATTATATTATGATATGGACAACCTCTAATGAAAACTACTCAAAAATTTCTACTTTTGTCAATTTATTGTGAAAGTTTATTCATAATTACCTTGATCCTGTACCAAAGGCAGTGGCCAACACTTGACCCATAGCTGCCACATGTTTGTAAGGTAGCGACCTCGTCGTTAAGAAGAAAATGACAGCGATCGTACCAAATCCATGGACAAATAATCCTATTAGTACTGTCATAAAGTACCATCCTAATTGTCCAACCATTTCTTCGAAACTTTCGATTTCGAGGATTTTGGCAGCTACCAGGAAACAGACACCCGATAGGTGATAGCCTAAATATAAATAAAACTATAAAACAACTATTGACTGTAAGACATCGATAAGGTTCATCACGAAAGATTGGTGATGGTAGTAAATTTTTAATTTTGATCGTCATCAATCGATCAATCTCTTCGAATTTATGCTTAAGTTATTTATAAACAAGTTATCATTGAACGTTTTTCTTAATATGGCATATAGTGCAGTGCAGTAAACGGAGAGGAAAAAAAGGTATAATCTCTGAATTTTTTTACTGTGCTCCAATTTGTATGAAATTTTGGAATTATTTTTATCTTACCAATTGAGAAGGGGTTTCATCCCCCCGAATTGTTTTCATTTTTGAACTTGAGGGCAAGATGAACCTAATTCCAAAATTTTATGCAAATTGGAGCACAGTAAAAAAATTCAGACCCAAAACGCTCCATTGACTGGAGTAATATATTATACAAACATAATAATATAAAAAAATATAAATTTAAAAGTAATTTTCGTGTAGAAAAAATCATTCTGAGAAAACATACTACAATGAATAGGTACGTATCGGTCACTTCCAATGCTGACCTCATTTGCTTAACAACTTAATTCACTTTAGCCAGAACAGTTAGATTAGTCAAATAAAACAAAGTGTTCATATTCACCATATCACCCATCCTGTAATAATCATCATAGCTTCAGCCATTGCCACGAAAACATCTTGCAGAGGTTTTCCGGCGGGACCCATTTTTCCTATACATGTTCCTAGGATAACGCTGAACATCACCAACCCCAACACATTTGTGGTGTTTGATAATTCGGAGGTTATTTTATATTCTGACACAGGTACTGCAAAAAATAAAAGACATTAATTACTAATATGAAATTATTTTTATTATCCTTAGAAAAAGTAAAAACTAATCAATTATTATAATATTATATTAATATATTCAAAATCACGAGAAGAGGAAATACAGGGAACTGAAAGCCGAAGCACAGGATCAGAAAACAGGAAAGCAGAAGTTCAGCAAGGAAAATACTTGAAATAAAAGAAATTGAGAGGGAGAATAATGGTAATGTGATGAAGGATAAGGGAATCATTTATTTGTTGGCCCTTACACCATAGATCTGCTTTCGGGCAGACTACTATTTATTATTATTACGTTCAAAATATTATCTTCACTCTTTTGTTTTTTGTACAAGGATTCTTCAAAATGTGAGTGTAATTGGGGAAGAAATAGTGGAATCAACAAAAAATCCCAATTTAGATAAGTGTAACTATGGAAGATAATATAGTCGACTATATAATTCAAGGAAGAGCAGTGATTTTCTAGCTATGGTCTGAATTTATTAACTGAGACAACTAAAATATTGAAAGTAATAGTTTCTAAGAATATCAGAAAGAACATCCAATGAGTGTTTGTGAACAATGTGATTACTATGATTGAAATTATGAAAAAATATTGTTAAAAATGATTCAAGTTTCAGTAGAATACAAAAGAAAATGAGTGATTTATAGATGCTTTATATATCTACTTAACAAATTCTAAAGAACGTAGAAAAAAACACAAAATGCAGTAGATGCCCTTTTTACAAAAATCATATTGGAAATACAAAAATACTGGATGTTCTCAATGATTTAAAACTGTTCATTTTAAAGACATTTGTTTTTTAAATTGTATGAAACTAACGTTTGGTTTTATATTTATTACAAATGAACACAGTAAATAAATTTGATATAAAGCCAATATTTTGACCATCTTTTTTCATACCTAATCATATATATATATATATATATATATATATATATATATATATATAATATATACTATATATTTATATTACATGATTGACTTGGATGATAAATGCATCCATGGTGCTGCAAGTCATTGAATTTTCCATAAAAATAATATCTTATAGTATTATCTTCATGGTAATTCTTATACAAACAATATATAGGATATAATATTAGGTATCACTCAATATATTATAGTAATTTCGAAATTAATTGTTATCTTATACGAATACACAAAAAATAGTCACAACAATAAATTATTTTAAAAACAACAACAAATCAATTATTTTAAATATCACAAAACATTATTGACCTCTCTGCTTATTTTGACAATAATTTTCATTTAATTCAATTTCAATTGGAATATTTTAAAATTTTATGTATTCAACTTATATATATTTCTATTAATATGAATAATATTTTAATTTGGCAAATGTCAATTAATATTAAGTAATAATAATCAAGTTGCAAGCAAATAAAACTTATTTAAACAATTTTAAATTAATTTGAAATTAGTTAGCTATTTTTTATTATTATTTTTTAAAATTTTAATAATTATATATTAATATAAATAGCGTATTAATTTAACAAATATTAATTAATATTAAGTTGCAAAGAAAATAAAACATATTTCAATAGATTCAATTTAATTCTGAATGAACTAGTTATTTTTTGTGCACTAGATTTTTAATTCGTTTATTAATTTTATTGTTTTTGTTAAGTCAATTATTAAAAATTTATTAAACTTATCGATATTAAATCAAGTTACAAACAAAATAAAACATATTTCAACCATATCAAATTATTTCGAAATGAATTAGTTATTTTCTCGTTTATAGATTTTTATATTTTCTATTATTTATGTGAACTCAATTATTAAGATAAATATTAAATAGCTTATTTCCTAAATATTATTTGCTTAATATCAATATCAAGTTGTAAACAAAATCTAACATATTTCACACTTTTACAATTTAATTCAAAATGGATTAGTTGCTTTCTATCATTTTTTTTATTCTTTATTAATATAAATTGGGTTTTCATCTTTCAAATAATAATTAATGAAAATAACAAGATATATTTTAATAATTTCAAATTAATTCGAAATGGATTGGTTATTTTTTATTATAATGTAAATTTGTTTAATGCTTATATTGATTTAGTGTTATTATTGACAATGGAATTTTCCAAATATTATTTAATAATAAAAACAAAATAATACATATACATTTAATAATAAAAACATAAATAATACACACATTTACAATTTAATTAGAAATGGATTAGTTGTTTTATATCATTATTTTTCTATTTATTATCAATACAAATTGTGTATTAACTTTTCAAATAATAATTAAAGCAAATAAAACGATATATTTTAATAAATTTAAATTAATTCGAATTGGATTAGTTATTTTCTATTATTATTTAAAATTGTTTTATGTTTTTATTAATTTAATAGTTTGTATTATTGTTTATTCCACTAATTGAAAATTTGAATTTCCCGCTCTAGAAGGTTGCCACTTGCATGGCGCCAACTATGTGACAATTTTGACATTTCGTTGAGGACCACCTCATGTATTATTATTGTAATTATATTCATATCATTAAGTGTTAAAAATGTTACAAGTGCGTTTTGTGTTAAATAAATATTACAAAGTGATAAAAGTGTGTAAAGTAATCCATCAGTTAATATGGAATATTATATAAATCCATCTCAATTTACGTAAGTCAATTATCAAATACATTTTACTAACCTTAACCTAGTATAGTTTTTTAACCTAAAAGCTGAAATATATTGTGTATCTATTTAATATATATCTTGTTGAAATTAATTAATCATGAAGATCAAATTATTATAATCGCCTTTCGTTTACATGTTCCTAATTTTAATTATAATAGATGTGACTGATAATTAGTTATATCAACTGTACCGTGCCGGATTATAATCTCTAATGTTTGCAACATCGATGTTTATTCATGGCGTCAAAAGCCTACATAATCCTTGATAATAATAGTATTATGTCGTATATAAATTGCTGTTCAATTAACTCAAAACTCGCATTTATGGAAATTCGAGATGAATATATAACTAGTGAACAAATGCGTTTCGGTTACCATACTTATAGTCGCTTTTTGAAAAAAATTATTTGCACTATTATTCTTTTTATAATCTTGATTGTAATACTTTCTTCTAGAATACAAAAAAGGGGGCGTCCATTAATCACGTGAGCGAGTTTTTAACGATTTTTGGACTCTCCTCTCTCTTGGTGATATTCAAAATTAACACCCCCCCTCCCCCACCAACATGAAGTGTATTTTTAGTTACGTGAAAAAACTGTAAAATTTTTGTTTGTTTTTGAAAATGTTCAAAATTTTTTTTAAAAAATAGTTAAAAAATAAATACACGTGATATCTTACTATACCCCTTCCTCCCCCACGTGATATTTCGTATTTTTTGTCAACCCCCCCCCTTCCTCCGAAAAACCTCAGGTGATTAATGGATGCCCCCAAAGGTGTCCACTCAGTAATTTCAACAAAAATTCCAGCAAATCGATAATTTGTCAGAAAGAATCTTTTGTAATGTAATGTAACAAGATATTTGTAATGTAAATTTAAATTTCCTACTTCCAACATTATTCTAATGAGAAGCTTATATTAGAAATTCGTAGAGGAAAATTCATTATTGTGTTTTACAGTTTTTAACTTCCCGAAGGACAAGTTTGTTTTCATAAAAAAACCGGTTCGGTAATTTTATGTTTTCTCGACGTTTCAAGTCATTCTGAATCGATTGAGACCAAATTTACAAAAGTATGTGTGCGTGTGTGTGTGAACAGATTTTTTACCGTAAATCGACGTTTTCCCAAAAACGGCTGGACCGATTTGAAAAATTTAAAGCCATTCGATGTATCTCGATGAGGACTATCGTCTGTCGGTTTTGTGTGAATGCCAAGCCGTTTCTTTATAAATCGCAGAAAAGTGAAAAAAAATTTATCCACGTTTTAGCCCGCAATTCTGACTTGATTTTAAAAATTCAAAAACCGTTCGAAAAATATTAGTTGGAAATCGTGCTGATTAGTTTATGGTAAAGATCGCCGGGCCGTTTTCTTGTAATAAACCATACCATAGTCTTATAGATCATACTAAAATATTACGGCCCTATGACAAGTTGTTTAATTTTAAAAATTCTTCAAAGTTTGCAAAAATTAGTATCGTTTCTTTGGCATGTGTTAAAATTAGACCTCTCATCGACCTTTGCTCAAAAACGCCTGAACCGATTTCATAAATTTAAAAGCCATTTCATGTATCTCAATGAGGAGTATCGTTTGTCAGCTTTGTGCGACGATCTGCCGAACCGTTTCTTTGTAATTTGGAAAAAAAGCTAATACTACTGAATCGATTTTAAAAAATCAAAAATTGTTCGAAAAATATTAGTTGGGAATGATACTGATTAGTTTTAAGTGAAAATCTACCGAGTCGTTTTCTTGTAATTAACTGTTGAAACAAAAATATAGGCCGATTTTTATGGAACTTTTTTTGGCGATATAGAGTACTTGGCCTTAATAAACATACTAAACCATTAAAGTCCTACGGAAACTGGTTCAATTATAAAAATTTTGACTTTTGAAAATTTGGGTTTAGAAAATACTCCGAGTTATTAACGCGTTCGTTTTTTTTCAATAATGTGTAAATATGCAATAAATCCACTCGGAATACTTTTAATCACTCATAAATTCATTTATTTTTTATTGATTAAGTCGATTATTTACACATATCAGAAAGTTTACGTAACTTGCCCCCAGGCAAAATACCAATACCAACTAGTTGCATACGATTTTAACCCTCAAACATATATTCGAAATATTCATTTATCAATGTCAAACTCCAATCAGTTGCGAAATGAGCAGGATTATTTCATATTAAACACGAACTTTGTTTACGAAATGCGTTAATTAATTATAACAATTATATATCGTGATGGGTAAAACACTCCAATTTAAATTTTTATTATATGATTTATAAGTTGTTGAGACAATTGCGTTGATAAATTGATTTGGGACAACGGCCGGCTGTCCAGAC